AAGAAATGAAAAAAACGCGCAGAGTTACGCAATTCACGTTCGGGAATTCGCAGGATCGAGGAAAACTACGCCGCTTCGATACAAGGCACGTCGTAACGCTTTAATGACATTGGCGGGCCATGCCATCGTGAAGAATCACTACAATGGTCATCATAGCATTAATCATTGTTGAAATCACACTGATTGCTCTCCGTTTAATTCTTTCATCTTTCGTAACGACTTCTAACAACAAGACTAATAAATCATGAGCTCATTATTGTACTCGTGCAATAAAAAGAGATGCATCTCTCGAAGAGTTAAAAATTCTGGAGCACCTTTCGGATGCCTTGTATATAAAACGATCCAATTAACTTTAATGTCTCTCTTTCGTCTTATTTTTAAGAATATTTTTAGTTTTAAAAAAGTGTATTCTTTTTTAATTAAAATGCTCAAGAAATAAAGCTAAACGAAAAGTGTTATTTAAATTCATAATGAATAGATATAATGGTGTTACATGATAAGTAGAAGCAGAAATTATTTCTTTCACTTAAATTATAAAGTTTCGAGCAATGGAAAATCTCCCGTGGAAATATTATTATTATATCTATATGTGTATGGAAAAATTGAATTTAATCGACCTACTGTAAATGTACCGTGCATATACCGCTTATAAATTATATCTCGCACGATCATCTTTCTAGTCGATCTGATTAATCGCTCTTGCGATTTGCTAGCATTGCGAAAGTGTGACATCGATCTAGAAGAATGTCATTCCTTTGATCGTATCGTTTTGTTTAAATAGATTTTTTTATTTATATTTGATGTGTGTAATAAAAACCCTGTTCTATCATAATTACTCCTGATTTTTCTTATTTTCTGTGCAATTTTTATGTAATATTTTTTTATTAGTCGATTTAAACAGTTCTTGGAATAATATGCATAAATAAATAAAGGAGCGCCAAATAGATTGAGGTTGAATTTTGGTACCTCGACCGTATTTGATGCTTCTTTGTTTATTTGTGTTATTCAGCAATCTAATTTAACGTATTATTCTGAATAATATAAAGAAAAGTCGCCAACAATACTGTCGTACTATTTTGTTTTTGGATACAATATTTTATAAACATAAACTAAAAATAAAATTTTAGGAACGTAAATAGAAACTGGAACGTGTCTTCTATCAGATGATATAGCAATTTTTATAATACTGTTTACAATTTTGCAATAATTAACTTTTTTGTAAAACAAGCAAAAATGAGCGTCTGATAAAATGAGCTCAAAAACTGATACAGCAGACAGTAATGCACATATCATACTCTTTTTTTCTTCTTTCAGGAATCATCCGAACAAAATACCTAAAAGTAAATATATATGAGAATTTCTAGAATTTGTTCACTTCGATATAAAATATTTTTTGTTTATTTATATACATACTTTATGCTGTTCTATAAGAACGCGACAATTTTTTTGGAAGATTTTTTTGTAAATACAAGATAGCATTTGATAGGATTATTTAACATTAATATTTAATATTAGTTTTTTATTATTAATATTTATATTAATAAGTTAATATTATCAATAAAATACCTATATTATTTAAACTGTGCAATTTATAAAGAAAGTCACAAGAATTTTATTTTTGCATTTGTAGAAATTATTCTTAGCTAATTTTATATAAAAACGAGCCACAAATGTACAATATAAATTATGAGTTCTTATTTTCTTAACTATATAAACAGATCATATTTTTATCAGTATTAATAAAGTAAATATGTTTAGTGTGTGATTAAAAAAAATAAGAAGGTTTTTTCAGGAAATATGGCAGAGTATCGACGACTTTCCTCTAATAAAATCAGAAAATAATACATAATAATATTCCAGAGGATGATAATTGTCAATATCAAAATTTATGTTAAATTTCAAATATTAGAAAATATTAGATTTTACAAATTATCAAACAAAGTGTATGTGATGTGTAATTAAAATAAATTTACATATAATGATTTATATATAATGATTTTGTAAATTGACATAAATTCGAATTGTGAGAATAATGTTTATATTTATTTTAATATCCGGACTACACACACACACACAATATTTAACATTAATATTTAAAAAAACAAAAAAAATACAGTTTAAATAAGTCTTTTGTTAAAAAAAAAGTTGATTTCGCGCTTATTCAAGGAATTTATCCTCGAAATAAGTTCTATACGATACGTGTATAACAACATGACGCGTAGTAAAGGATAATAATTAAATGCTAGCATAGCGGAAATTGTAGAATCTCGACAAGCGATCGTTTGTGATGCGAAACAAAAAGTACCGTGAGAAGTCTCATATCTGTCGACACTGGCGTTGCTTTAATTTTTTTACAATCGCTTGTGCATCGGCAAAATCCTTTAAAAATTTGTAAAGTCACTTTAATTATCATAATTCTGAAAAGTATGTTGTAAAATTCACATTTAGTTTTAATTTATTGTAATTTAAATTAAGTCCGACGCATTTTACAAGCTAAGCGAGTTTTTGCACTTTAAGACAGCAGTTAAATAATAAAAGCTAGTTTTTCATGTGCAAATACGCAAAAGATTTCACAGGAATTTTGCGACCGGGAGTTGTCGTCAGATTCCTCGCTTATTCGTTTTACTATAAAACTTGATTGCATCACGTTCCCAGAAGGCTCGTAAAGTAAATTTTGCGTGATAAAATTGTTCGCATCTACTTTAAACTAAGAAAATTTATCAACATAAACTCCTTCTCTCTTTCGTGGAAAATTTTTAGTCTTGAAAGAAAAATGGTCCGTCAACATGTCTAAAAATAAGAATATTCTTGATAAAATGATTAGTATAGCATCTCTCGGCGAGAAAAATAATGATGGAATGAGGAATTGAAGTAATACACAATTAAGAAACACCTTCCTCTTGCACGAAACAATGAATCGACAGCACGTAAACATACATCGTCGGATTATCGCGGTGATTATCGAGATCGTTAGGGTGCAATTTCTCGAACGCATAACATTAACAGCTGATGCTAATCGCATGTGCAGAAGCCGCCGCCGCCGCAAGCTAGTCGTGAACACTATAATTGTCGACGCATAGAAAATGAGGCACGCCAACGACGCGGCGGAATGCAAAATTATCCGTTTCGCACGACTCGCCGTTTCCGGCTAAGCACGTCCATGATCGCTTTGTTAAGTAAAATTAATTTCCCTGTTCCGGAAACTTCGAGAACAACGAAGACGAATTAAAAAAATTTCCCAAAATTTTAGATTCAATAATTTTACATAGTTAGAGGTATAAATTTTAGAGGTATTAATCGATACTCGTGTAAAATACAACGTAAAATTCTTCATTAAATGCATTTTTTAAATTAATTTATCGTTTTTGAAAAATCGAGAAAAATAGAATAAAGGACTGCAAAATATACGAGAGTTCAGAAAAACAAACGTCGCGATAAGTATTGATAATTTGTATTGACGATTATCGATAATTAGAGTGCAGCAAAATGGAATGTAAATGTTTCGTAACATGCTAGTTTTGCTTGAGGTCTTATCATTGATAGTAACATCACGGAAAAGAATTTAAAAGTATGAACAAAATAAAAAAAATAAAATTTTCAATTTTGAGTATTTTGCAATAATAGATGAGGTGCAATAATAGATCAATATTTTTAGGACTTATTTTTATCGATTAATGCGCGCTTTTATTTTGTGTAAAATTCTATTGTATTTAATTATATTAAATTATAGTTTAAAAATTAAATAAATTATATAAAATTATAGAATGATTTTTGGGTCGCGTTTTTTTTTTTTCGTGAATTGCGCGTAAGTCGCGATCTGTCGAGAGCGATTTAAAGCGTTGCAGAATTAAACTTTTGTAGCACTGATATAGCCCATGCCTGCCTGTCGATAAAATAGGAATTTGTTATCATTCATGATTTACTAAATAGCCAAAATTATTATAATAAGAATGTTAAAAAATTTATTTACAATAATATTTTATTACTATTTTAAAATACTCAGTAAGATATATTTGATTATAATGCTACTAAATGTTTGAAATACATTACGAGTAGTATAAAGTTACAATTTCTTTTCGCAATGCACGAGCAAAAATATAACAATAAAAAGATTTATTTGTTACAAATAAATATATGTTAAAATAAAAAATACTTGGATGTTATGTTTCGTACAATAAATACAACAATTATAAAGATTTCGTTGTAAAAATCATTAAAAAATTTACGTGATATTGCAATTTGATACACGATTTCAAAATGAAATGATTAAGAATTAAGATCTTAGCAAAATGTTTATGCATTACACTGTTTTTATATGTTTAACCCTGGATTTTCCTGAGAGATGAATTTAATTAAACGGAAAATCGCCTCGTAATCTCTTTCTCAAGATATGACACGCCATTTAATTACATGTAATTGCATAATCTGCAGCGATGCGTTCATGCGGATACGTCGCCAGCGAACGTTGTGCTGCCGGAAATGCATTCCTTTATATTTTCATATATTTATGCACGTAAATGATTCGAAGAACTTCCGCGGGATTGATAAATGATACGATTTCCTGCAGAAAAACCGCATGAAGCGTATCATACCGTGTCGAAGTTTAGCTATTAAATCGTTAACTCATCCGTGAATTCATATAGATTTAAAAATATAGAGTAATATATGTAAGCGTATTTAACGCAAAATATATAACAAGATAGCGCATTTTTTAAGATTAAAAATAGTAAAAAGAAGTAAAAATTAAAATAAAGAATTAAATATAAACTTCTTTGGAGAAATGTATTAGAAATATCTTGTTTTTTATGCGCGTTTTAAAACATAAATTTCTTTAAAATCAAAAGAAGTAAAACAAATAACTGAGAGTCAAGTGCAGTAATTAGAGTGCACATTATTTATTCTTCATATTCTCCTTAATAACATATAATAGTATTTCAAATTGTATAGATTTCATTCTTTTGTGTAAAATTAAATATAAAAGGATATTATGATAAACTCACGTCGATGTCGTTCCTGAGCGGATCTGTCCTCGTCCTCCTTGGGCATCGATGATGTATGCCGCTGCACTCGATCATTTTCCACGTATCCTTCAGGAAACACCGTGGAAACATTCATCCCGGGTTTCTGGAATTGCAGGATTTAATTACGATCAGTAAGTCCTTGATCCTTGAGTCGACAGTTCTCGAACGTTCCTCTCACTATTCATCGTTTCTTCGAATATTAAAGTGTTATTCATTTCCGAGGATATATAGATTTTCTGATATTATAATAAAATATAAAACATAAACTTTTCTACATCGCTCGAAGAGATATGTAAATATTACACGCTTTAACACTATTATACGTCATTACCATTTTTTCAATCGTGAATCTCAGATTGCCCCTTTTCATCTCGTGATACTAAATGCTACACCAACGTGAACGGTACGTTAATTACGTAAATAGAAACAGGAAATTGAGATATAAATTAATGATACACTGTGATTTATTGCGTCTATCTGGAGTTTGAACAAGAAGCTATATAAAGAGTGTCTTGACTATTTCACGGATGTCTCGCCACGTAACTATTCTTTAACTCTTTATTGAGGTTCTGATCGTATTAGAATAGTTGCTAATTCGTCCTCTAAATCCGACTTCATTAGCGATTCTTTGTCAACTTATCATTGATCACGCATACAAGATCAACGGAGAAGATTGAAGAATCTTTTAAAATTTCTTATGTTTTCTGTTAATTTCAACACTGACGTATATTTTGTTATTTAATTTTAAAGAAAAGTTTATCAAATAAAATATTACATTCACGTTTATTCACTTTTTTTTCATCACAGTTAATAAATTAACGTAATTATTAAAATTTGCAAAAATAATAATAAAAAAATTAATTAAAGATAGATATAGGATATCCTTTTTTTGATAAAGAATAAACAGAAAAGTGACAGAAAATTTTCTATCCTTATAATATTATTCCGTTTTATTGTCGTGAAAATTACCATTATCCACACTCAAATGGCTTTAGAGTTCATTAGTTGCTTAAACTAGGTTGTGAAAACCTAATTAACGTATGACTTCTAGTTCGAGAAGAAATAGGAAACTAAAAATTTGCAATGTTGTGTAAATTTTGGAAATTGCACGAAATGCATTGAAGATTTGCATAAGTGACAACTTTCTCTTCTCTCTCTCTCTCTCTCTCTCTCTCTCTCTCTCTCTCTCTCTCTCTCTCTCTCTCCTTTTCATTGTATTATCTTTAGCTGCAGATCTAAATCAAACAACGTATATCGCAAAACACAAATTCTGACTCAGACTTCTGGTATAACGATAAGATACTTCGTACTGTGCTTGTATTATTGTATCATAATTATCTCCACCTTTATTACCTATGAAAGTGGGTATTTAAACAAAAGAGCGTAACTTATCTTTCGTTTGCGAAAGTTACGAAAATCGAATATACATAACAAAACTGATAATAGCGATAATCCATTTTAAAGGTGTGTCCAGACTATCGAGCCAAATTTTGAGTCGCGAGTATTTCGATAAACATTTGTTATGCAGCTCGGCAAAAAACAATAAATATTAATCGAAATGTTTCTGACTCGAAATAGGTGAATTATTAAACCGTCTAAATTTTTTTTTAATTTTATAAGAGGTTATTGATAAAGCTATAAAATTATTTATAAAATAGTATAGAATATAAAGTGTAGAAGTAAAACTATGTAAACTAAAAAAATTCAAATTAGACGTTTAATAAATATTAAATTCAAATAAATTGTGGTCTCATTTATGAATTCCGACATGCGCTTTTCGATATTGACAACCATTCCACTTAGTTCTCAAAAATCGATAAAAATAGTAAACTTACTCCCAGACGCCGATTTAAGCCAAATCTCCTGGCGGTCGAGTTGTAGGCCAGGAATTCACGCCACAGGTTCAGATAGGTCTTACCACCAGGACGCGACATCCCCTACGCTGTGCAATCCAGGAACCACCACCTGCCGCTTCCGTTAGCCATCTACCCCCACGAAACCGGCTAACCGGCGGATTGTCCTCGTTTAGGACCCGCCAGAATTAACCTCACGAAGGTGGTGACCAGCGAACAACCACTGAAAGAATCCGCTGTGATCTTCGACCACCCCGAACCCGTCGATCCGACGTAACATTCAAGTGGCGAGGGTGGTGGTGATAATAGTTAGTACACGTGACGACCTTGACAGCGACCTCACCAAGTTGCGTGACGCTGTGATGATCGTTCTACTCGCAATGTTCCGGTCACATCGGTCTGCTTGCATCAACCTCGATACCATTACCATTGTGTGTCCCAACAAATCGCTAATGAAATCATAAATCGAAAGAATCGCCTTAAATTTTCAGAATAAAAGAACGATCGTACCGCTCAATTAAGGATGATCTTTTGATATTTCTAATATCAGCAAAACACGTTATAATTTTATAAACAAGAGATTGCTTCAAATAATTTTATAAATAATTATATATTACATAATTTCTCTTTTCCTTTTCGATTTTTGTTGTTAAATAATTTTGTATTCCCTTCTTCTTTCGCCTTCTCTCTTTCTCTTTCTCTTTTCCTCTCCGCTATTCTTTTTTATCTTTTTATTTTCTTTTAACATTAAATTCTGTATCTTTTTATTTTTTTTGTCCTGTTTTTCTCTTCTTTTTTCTTTTCATTAGATATCATAGATCCGCAATTTACTCGCGCTATTTAGTTGTTTACTTTTTTCTATAATTGCTTAAATGTTTACAATTAATATTATATTGTTAACTCCTCGATATACATAATTGTCAAAATATGCAATGACAGCTGCTCACAAAGTAAGAGCAATAAAGACAGAACTAATCAGCGTCGCAAAAAAGAGTCAACAAGAATCTTTGAGATTTTCTAAAGGATTTCGAAACATTTGAGTATTAATTTAACGTATCTTTTTAAAGAATGGAACTGATAAAATCTCATGGGCCTTACTCTCGAAAAATATCACTCATGAAAATACTGAAGAAATCTATAATATACAATATATGTAACATATACTATACTATACATACATGGAGAAAAATAGTTTGCTTGGATTAAATAGTAGTTTTCTACTGGAAAATGGACGAATCAGAATTTTCTGGTTAAATCTACTAAAATTCTAGTTGAGATAATTGGAATAAGAATTCTAATAGATTTTACCAGAAATATTGTATCAACCAGAATTCCGATTATCTCAACTAGAATTCTAATAAATTTAATCAGAGAGAGAGAGAGAGAGAGAGAGAGAGAGAGAGAAAATTTTGATTTGTCCATTTTCAACCAGAAAATTTTTTCAATGTATTTTAATCATATATGTGATATTTTTCTAAAATAAGGCTTCAGGTGAGATATATATTTTGGCACGCCTAAACATTTCAGTTATATTTCTCTTCTATCGTACGACTTTTGGCCTTTCACACAAAGATGTATAAACAGTAAGTATTATATCAAGGCCACAGATAAGATTCCGTTAGTAATGGCAGCGATCTCCGACCACGGACTTCCGGTCATCGCCTGCAATGGCCAATTACTCTCGCAGTTTATTTAGATTACGTCTGTGATATCATTTGCAGCTGAATCGAGACTTTTACTTAATTTTCACGATGTTAATAACATCCAAGCAATTTCATTTTTTCCGAATAAAGTTAGAAATTATTTCAATTTTTCATTAAGTGATCGAACTCCTTTAAATTGAATTAATTTAATTTAACTTCCTACGCATAACACATAATTACATCATTATTTTTCAAAGCTATCCATTCTATCCTAGTCGTGAAAAGTAATAATTAATTAACAAACTAATTTTCGATGTTGCAAGATACCTTTGTAAAACTATCTTAACTGGATCATTTTCAAAATTTGCGATTAAGATCAGGCGAAGGATTTAGTTATTAAAATTTATACCAAGTCTCTCAATTCCTTCGCAGTTCTTCCTGGTGTTCTATTTCGTAGCTGTTGACCGGCATTATGGCAATATGGTAAGTTCGCGTGCAGATAAAATCGCGACAATTAGCATACGTGAGGTCAACCGATGGTCGCGATGAACATGGAATACGTCATACCTGCAGTTTCTTGCACCCATAACGATTGGTTTGCGACGCGCCGCAGGAAAGCTCGCGGAAGTCGCATAATTGTACAATCTGTGAAAAATGCCATGTCTTGTCTCTATCACAAAAAATTTTTTAATCATTCGCCTAAAGAGATATTACGTCGAACCGTAACATCGCCGAGTGCCTTTTCAGTAGTAAGAGTTCATATCTATCATCTTCAAACGTTATGACGAAATACGCAAGTTCATTTGAGAGGCAAATATCTCTTTGTCGCTCTAATTGGCGCGTGAATTTATTTCTGGGATATTTACGACTTCTCATGTTGCAGCAATCTAGATAGAATAATGCAAGTCGATCTTTCAATCTCACGCACGTCTAGTTCTTGGAGATAAAACGAAGATTGACACGTGTTCGGATGCCTGGTTTCCTTCAAAGCTGTCTCCTTAAAATCCAACATAAAACAGTGCCTGGCGAAACTGTTTTGGATCATATAAACTTGCATCTGTACCTGAATCCATCTAAATCAGAAATTACATCGCAATTTAATGAAATCGTAGAATTTATAATATAAATTAAGAAGCAGATATAGAACGGTCCAGTGAGAAATGACAATGAAATCGATGTCGAATCGACATCGATTCGACGTCACTTTGATGATTTCGACGTGGAATTGATATCGATTCGATGTCGATTCCATTGTAATTTCTCACTGGGGGGAAATATAAAAAATTAAGCGAATTAAATAAAATAACTATTAAATAAAATCTATAAGACAAGAATATAGAAAATATATATGATAAATGTATGTAGAAAATTTAATATAATAAACGTTACAAATATATATATATATTCTTTATCGTGAAACTCTTTATAGATGACAAATAAATGCGATAATATCCGGATTTCAATTTGTATGCAAGGAAATATTAATCGTGGTCTTATTGCGATCAAGGCGACTTTTTCGATCGAGTTAGTACCGCAATTTGTCCGCCATTTTGACTCAAAACGCGACACAATCAAACTTATGCATTTGTATTTGTACTCGTGAGTTGTATGTAATAATATATGTACGTTATCCGACGCCATTTTAGCTCAAATGGTCATCTTAATCGATACTTGATGATTCATCTAGTGACTTTAAATTGAGTCTAGAGCGCTGCGACAAGGTCGGATAAAGAATGAAAAAAAAAAATTGTTCGTCCACGTGCGAGGTTCATTGATGGTGAGTTTATTGATATAAAAACGATCAACAATCAAGAGTAATAATCCACCCACACGTTTTAGCTACGATTTTAAACGCCACTATTCCAAGGAGCAATTAAGGTGACGTAAAATGACGTCTAACGTCTTAATGACGTCAATAAAACGTTACTAAAACGTCACCTTGCTGCTTCGAATTCTATAGTTAATTTTTTAAATATTATATTATGATATGTCATATTAATACCTAATTTTTAAATTATTGATCTGGTTTAATATTTACGATAATCTAATATTGCTGTAAGATTTACTTAAATTTAATGTTATTGATATCAAATTTAATTGGTTCTCTTTCGTTATTTTTATAGTGTTACAAACATATATACTTATTATTTGTTATAAAACAGAGTTAAAATACAACTCATTTTTAAATTCGTTAATATACAAAACGTTGACACGTGTCTTACACATATTCTTAGTCGATAGAAGGACAAAACGATGAGGTAGTAGACGGTTGACAGCATACAACCGTCACGTGGAAAAAAAAAGCGGTAATGACTCGGCGATGACGATGACGATCTTGTCGTACCGCTTCGCGGAATGTGCTCGGGAAACATAAGATGATTCATCTGCTTTTGGCGAACAAATCAGGATCGTGTCTGGTGTCACCGAACTCGCGTTATTATTTTGTCTATTCAACTCTATATTTCAAATATATCATTTACAACAAACAAATCTGTTATTTAAGCAATTGATTCGCAGCAAATAGATATTATTTCATGGAATTAATTACTAAATTCATCTCCTTAAACTTTACTATTTTTTTAGCAAATTTATTCTCTCTCTGTTAACTATTATAATTCTTAAGAAAATCTTCTCCTATTATCTTGATATTTTTCTGGTTACTTTTTGTGAGTACTTTACTTTTACTTACTTTATAGATACTTTTTGTTATCCCTAACACAAAAGTTCTCGAGTTTCTCTTGGTTTTCTCCCCTGTCAGTCTCGCTTGCCACAGCATTATAATACATAATAAATATGCACACTTGCAGGTGAGCTGCATAAACCTTGATTCAGCGCCCAGATGACAACACGGCCAAGAACTCAGCTGCGCGGCAATGACAACAAATTCTAACAATACGACTCTCTTACGTGACATATGCGCCGTCATGTTTGCATTATGCAGCCCCAAGCACGCTGCCATTCCATGTTGCACAATTGCTCTCTCTCTCCCCCCCCCCCCCCCCCCTCTCTCTCTCTCTTTCTAGCAACATAGTGTAATTATAGTTCCGCGCTTTAGACGAAATAATACGAAGCTTGTAGGAACGCTTTGTTCGGAGCCGACGTTATTTAATTCCTCCGATTAATTGGCTTATTCGTGGTAATTTTGCGTTCTCACTAGAATACCATGGCTAGAAACAATGGTCGATAAAATACAGCGTGTTAATTCCGCATCATTGTCGCGGTTACAGTCATCGTGCCAATGGATACTGCAGACAGAATCTTTTGACACGTTTACAAATTACACGTACGTTTAATTTTTATTGTTCACAACTGCATTCAAAAAGTGTTCAAAACAAAATTACAGCCAATTTTGTGAAAAATTTTGCAGATATTAAGCGAGTATTATAAATTTTATATCAGCTATTCAAATTTGCACGAGCGCGAGGTTCATCATCAATGAATATACATAAGGATGATTATGTACGAGATGAATCGCATTTCAGATTACACAAATCAATCAAGAGAATGGCTACTTAACATTTTCTTGCGTCGCACGACATTTATCATCGCCCCCACGTTTTCCGAACGCCATCAATTATACACCAATTGTCTTAATGGTACTTGACTTACTCGCGCAATTAGTTTAATAAGACAAAAGAAGAATACTGCGCAAAATGATATTAATATTTTATAAATATTGACAATATTTGACGTAAAGAAATTTTTATATTTGAAATTTGTTTTTCTTATTCTGGAAAATAACGTAATTTTGAAATAAAAATGTTATAAAGCAAAATTCTTTGATATTTTTATTAAAAAATTACATTATTTTCTAATTTAATCATAATTCAATCTCCTTCTTCTAATTATCTACTTTTTCTTCGTTACTTTTACAAGTAAATAGTTTAGCAATTAAAAAATATTAGTCCCAAAAGAACAATATAAAAAAAAAGATAAATTAACAAAAATTAACAAAAAGAAATTAAATCGTAGAGTTTAATGATAGGTTAAGCCTACAATGAAATCATCGTCTTCAGAGTAGTCGTCGCGGTTAGGTGATCCCCCCTTCGTTATGCATCGCGTGCATCGCAAGGAAGTACCGTTGAAACCGTACTTTCCTTTTCCTACCGGGAAAACACCATTTCCGATTACACGTCTCAGGAAAGGTATGATCGAAAGAATGCTAAAGGCAAAAAGGCTATTTGCCACCGCAAAAACTGCGCCGTGTCGTTCCGCATCTCCGCTGAAAATCATTTAGAACGTCTGAACATTTATATTTATACTGATATGTATGTATACTGATTTATGTTTATTGATTGCAAAAATATCTAGCTATATTAAAATATTGTACGGTACTTTGTGTTTTTTATCGGTTCGGATTTTTAAATATTTCAGGCGATGTGATCATTTTAAAACGAGTTTCGCTCCTTTCTTTTCTAACTTCCTGAAGCGATCGTATTTCACAACGGACTGACAAAAAAGATTGTGATGCAAAGGCCAAGAGGTGAATCGGAAACAAGCCTGAATAAAAACAAGTTATTTTGTATTACGTAGTCTCTCCAGAGGAAGAAATCGAGCAATTTTACATTTCAAAAAGAGAAGTACAAATGTATTCCAGATTAAAATATACTTCTCACAACAGATAAGTTTTTAAAGACAGTTTTCTTGAAAGTTAGAGAGATCGTTAATCAGGATTTGATATTTATTTAATTATTTTCTAAAATTAAAGTTTCTATTCACAATCTTATCAACGTTACAAACATAATATTTTCGTAGATAACAATTTTATCGACGTCATCGTTTTACTGCGAAAGATAAACAAATTTTATTTTTTAAGTAACTACAGAAATAATTTTTACATTCATGTGAATCATTCTTTTAAATACATTTCTAACTTTTTGTTTATTCAAAATTAATTTTATTTAAATAGAATTTTAAAGTTTTTTCTCAGAAACTTTTTAAATTCTTAAAGTCCAGGTTTTTTTTATCGCGAACATCTTGCTTAAATCATTCCCCAAAAGAATTTAAAAGAATTTTTTATTTTATACGAAATTTATCTTGAACTCGAGATCATTGACTGTAATTTTATCGGCACGTTTCTGGAAGTATAAGTCCTCGTGCAGTAAACCTTTATTTATCAAAACGTGTATGTACATACACATTTTACGCATGAACTCGTCTACGTTGTTTGTGTTCATGCACTCGCCACTTTTAACCGCGATATCCCTACTACTTTGCTGTTCGTCTGCCGGTAGAGTTACTAGTACGGATACCTATCTACGTGAGGCCCGATCGGCCCGAGAGCCCAGCTTGCGACAGTTGTCGCTCGGTCGCTCTCAAGGAGTCATCTCGGTTTCGTTGGTTCCTAAAGGACTCTTTTTTTAATAAAACAGAATAAAGGATTCTTTTAAATAAAACAATTTTCGGAGGCATCTCAAAGGACTCGAGAAAATTATCAAATAATATTTTACGCACTTTCAAGTACTTGTCAAAGATCTCTTAGGAAGCTGTCAACAAGACTAGAGAGAATTCATTAATCAATTGCACGTGTTAGTTCCAGATTTCGAGGTGAGTGGATGTTTATTCATCATTTTTAACTTTATTTATGTTTATTATTTATTTTTTACTATATATTTATATTTATAATATTTATTTTATTTATGGTATATTTAGTCATGGGATAAATCTTTAGTAGGTATAAAGAAATATAGTAAAAACTAAATATATATATATGTATATATATATATAATTGTTAAAATTAAGAATACATAAACACACATGCTAAATGAGTCAGTTTCTCTTTTTTTAGATACTGACTAACTTTAACGTGTGTTATTTAATTTATTTAACTTTAGTGTTATTTTATATATTTAACATATTATACATAAAACACCACATAATTTGCTTTAATATAAATAATAATAAATATACAGTTTGCATATAAATAATAATAAATATATAAGACTAATTTTTCGTATTAAAGAAGCATATCTAATAATTTCGACCGCCTTTCAAAGTCCAAAGCACAAATTGCGTTACGTTAGACGTAGAATGAAACGTTTGCAATTCGAATCAAACTAGCATTTAACGCGACGTACGTATGCCAATCATGGTCTCTTCTGGTAAATACGTGACGTTCATATGAACGTCTCAGCTATTTTCTCTATTTTATCGTGCTATTTTATCGTGTTGTTTTCACAAAAGTCATGCACCATGTTTCTCGATTACTTTTAGTAATCTCCACCATCAATGAATACTCATGTCTTGTAGGTTTTAATTTTAAAAGGAAAAATCATCAATTAATATTAGTAGAAAAATGTTAATCGTTATATAAATTATATATTCTTTGCAAAAGGAATTAATTTTATTAATAAATTATTAAATGAATGATTCACTATCGATTGGCTACGCAATTGTTGTGTAAATTAAAACATTTTTTAAATAAATGTAAACAATAGAACTTAATTAAGGGTTGAATAAAAATACAATAAAAATTTAATTGAAACTTTGATCTCGTAAATAAGGATGAAAGATCAAGATATAAATAAAAATTTATGTAATAAAATTACATAAATGTAATTTGTGTATATATATGTATACACACATAAATAATCAGAAAAATAATTGAAAAATTAAATTTAAAATTGACTGGAAATTAATTATATAAATTATGTAAACAATTTACAACAATTATGCAACAATTTGTATGTACTGAAAGAGTGATTTGAAAATTAAACTTAAATCTGTCTCTGGAGAAAAATTAAAACTGATATATTTAATGATTTTAATAAATTTAGTTTTTAAAAAGTCCTAAATTCCAAGATAAAATTCCATTAATTTAATTTAAGCCAAATTAAGCCTTCGCCGATTAACGATGCAACCAGGCTATTATAGCTTCAGCCTAAAGTGGAACGAGTGGATCACCAGTCGGACATGGTCAATCGTCGATCGATCCTTTAAAGGGATCGAGAAGAAATCGTACAGTGTCCACTGGAAACAGAACGGAAAAATAAAATGAGTGGAGGGGAAAAATCCTGACAAGACCATATAGGGATAACGATCTCTCTAACGGTCACCGATAAATCACTGGAGGATCTAACGGGTGATTTATGCTTCCGAATCAACCGGTCTTCGCTTTCGCGGAACGGTCGGCGGCAATCATAAAAGAACGAATCCATGGTGAATTCTCAGATATGGTAGAATGGAGGGGGTTTTTATTACCGCCAGGTGGAAGGCGATATCGATAATCGCACGGTAAAGGACTCTTTTTGTTCGCCATCGAATGTAGCGAAGCGTGAGAAAAGGAAGCCAAAAGGGGCGGTATGAGAGAATAGCAAAAACTCATAACAGAAAAACCGATGGAACGAGAACGGTTGGAAACTTTCGAGGTTTCGTTATCTATTTATAGCACATTCATGTTGCACCGTTTCTGTTATAGCAACCGTTTGATTGTTGACAGATGATTGAAATAATTGATACTGGGGCTGCGTTCCGATGTTCACTGCCAATACTGAAAATCTTTAGTGTATGTAATGTATACTATAGATTTTCAGCACTGGCAGTGAATATTTTTATATTGTTGTTTTATATTTGTTGCTATTTATTTATTTAATATTGTGCATATAATAGTATAATTTATATTTAAAAATATAATTTTATCACTTTTATATTAAATTTGTATGATTTTTTAATTCTAATTATATCTGTTTAATGTAAATATATAATTACATTATAATTACATTAAACAGATATAATTAGAATTAAAAAATCATACAAATTTAATATAAAAGTGATAAAATTATATTTTTAAATATAAATTATACTATTATATGCACAATATTAAATAAATAAATAACAACAAATATAAAACAACAATATAAAAATATGCAATTAATAATATGAACTGACATTACGCGAATTGAGTGAACGAATTGATAGCATATCTCATAATATCTCTAAATTTAGATATTTTCATCTTGTGAAATTTTTCAGAAAATTTTTTTGAGTAATCGTTTGCATTTCTAAGCCATTTTTTTATTAGTAAAATTTTCATAACATTTAACGTGCAGAGAACTACTAGCACAAATAAAAAATAATTGTTTAATGTATTAGTGCGCAATTCGCGCCAACAACAACATGGACTTGCGTTTTCCATTTGATTAAAGCTCGCAGTATAAATAAATACATTTACAAAAACATAAACTCCGCAATCGCATAATGATGATAAATAAATGGAAGGAAAAATAAATAACAAACAAATAACAAACGCGATAAGAAATAATGATTTGATTCAAAACACAGAATTCCAGCGTACAGTCACACTCCTTTATATTAACGTGCGAATGTAAACTGTGCTTTTACAAGCCGGTTAAATTGCTGGTCTGGCGGAATTTATTAATTCATTTAATAACGTCACATAAATGAAATACATACATAGCGACAGAAAGTCGCACGAAACTTTAGAAAATATGATGAACGATGATATATACATTGATACTCTCGAAAATTGTAGTTTAAAAAATAGTCTTAAAAACGAAAAACTTATTTTCAAATAAATCCGGTTTCTTTCGGACCGGACTTCGTAACGGTACGATTTAGCAAATCGGCTGTGTAAGCGACAAATAGTTTTATGACAGAGTTGGGCGGATGCGAAGGAAGAATAATCACGGACTGTGACATCATCTGTAAGATCAGATCATCTCGGCTCACGACTTTAGTAATGACGCCTATATAATTACGTAATTCGCGTATTAAATGGAATTTTTGGAAGGCAACTCGATTGTCCCTGACGATGGTTTGCTTAAAGCATTTATCGGGGAAATAAATCGTATGATGAACGAAATATAATGATGAATCACGAAAAAAGTCACAACTCAGAAATAAACTTAAATAAGACACTAAAAACAAATCTAGTTCCTTATTTTTTGTTCTAAAGAAGCTATTTATTTTTTTTAATTGTAATAGATAATAATAGTACAAAATTGTAATTGTAAATTATAGAATATATATATACGGATGTTTAAATATCTGAGATTTTCATTTCAATTGGAAAAGAAACGCGGCTGTTTTTAATTAAAAGGTCACCTACGCTACGTAGGTGACGATCAACGAGCTTTGGCGCGATTAGGTAATTCGAACCGATCGTTCGAGGTGAGGATATGACGATCTACATACGTAATGCAGCCTGTCGAAGCTTTTGTCGCACTCGTAAACCATTGCGTCCTCGATCTACATCCACTCGTCGTCAATCAACGGAACCGCTAAACGTCGCTAAAGAAGAGTGTTAAAGCTCAAAAAGGAAGTCCATTCTAAATTTCGAACTCTTAAAATGCTTTCGCTTATTCATATACGTAATGACGATTGCGAATTAAATATCTTTCGTTCCTTGGAAACGTGCCAAATCTCAATTTTAAAAAATCTGTGCTTATAACGATAGAACTATGTTACGTCAATTGTATAACCCTGAAATAATACTTACCGTTTTTTATATTGCTCTTTGGATATGTTGTAAAGCATAAAAAAATACTAGACTCCTATTTTTTTATCTGATTATCTCAAGGAAAAATTTTCTAAAAAATAACGATTTTTTTTCATTTTTAGTATCTCCGAAACACACACACTATGAGATATATAAAACAATGTTTTAATAACTTTTAATAACGGAGTATTGATATTTTGCAAAAATGTCAAATTTTTTAAATTTACCTTCACCTTCAGGAATTATTCCGATTTCTAAACCTTGAGATAAGCAGAAAAGAATCTAACATTTTTGTTGATGTTCTACAATTTACAACATATCTAAAGTTCATTAAAATTGGTAAGTGGACAATTCTGATGGTTCTCTTATAAGACTATATTAAATTTGTTTATTGTTTAAAGACAAACATTTTTATTCTATATTCTATATTCGAATAATATATGTCTTTTTTATAACTTTGTTCTTAATTTTATTTTTTACTTACATATCAGATGGTGAATCTGAAGAACGCCCTGGGTGCTGATGAGCTTACCGATAAGAAGGTCGGTCTTCCTCGCGCTCTTCTGGCAGAATTTTTAGGCACCTTATTACTGAACTTCTTCGGCTGCGGTGCCGTGGTGACCGGAGATGTTGCCGCCATCAGCCTGGCCTTCGGTTTGACGGTAGCGTGCGCAATTCAAGGGATAGGACACGTCTCCGGAGGTCATGTCAATCCAGCGGTCACGCTCGGTCTCGTCGTCATCGGGAAGGTAATGTTTTATACTAATATCCAATAAAAATTTTAGTATTTTTATTGACTATTTTATTAATGTATATTAAACACGATAAAGAAGAACGGTCAAAATTGGATGTTTCGAATAATACATTATATATTCTTATATTAAATTAATTTATTTCATATATGATTGAGAGCCGAAAAACTTTCACTTTCAACACAATCATTCTGAAACGCTAATAACCCCCCTAAATTAGAATAGACAAAAAGAAACTTATTGAGAAAAATATTACCTCAGCTAGGATTCGAACCTGGAACCTCTCAATTTTCCGGGAAGAGTGTCTTACTGGTTAAGACACAGATTCGAATCCTGGCTGGGGTAATATTTTTCGCAAAAAGTTTCTTACTTTCTTTCGATCTATTCTAATTTAGGAGGGTTATTAGCGTTTCAGAATGATTGTGTTGAGACCGAAAGTTTTTCAGCTCTCAATCATATCTGAAATAAATTGATTTAATATAAGAATACATAATGTATGATTTGAAACATCCAACTTTGACCGTTCTTGGCTTTCTTTATCATATTTGATGTATTCACATCTACGGTCGTGCTCAAAATTCTGAAAGTAATGTATATTATTGAACTATTTTTATTGAATATTAATTTTATTAAGCTTTAATATTATAAGTTTTTTTAATAACACTTCTATCTAAAATCTCTTTGTTCCTGAGTAGTCACCACAGTGATCCAAGTAGTTAGTTACAGCGCGTCAATCTGATACATTGCATGCGTATCATATGTAAACCGAGAATTGTCTATTACTCCGCAAATGAAATCTATCCTAGAAGACTCTCAAGAATTTGATATCTCGCAATGAAAATCGATCATCTTCTATAAAAATCTATTCGGATATTCAAAACAAATTCCATAATAATTCTTATCAATAAAAAATCAAATACCTACTAATACTTTGAATTATAGTATAATAATTTAAACTTAATTACATAATTATAATTATATAAAACTGAATTCAAATTATGTAAATATATATCTATACAATAATGTTCATAATTATATATATAATTTATCCGATTAATATTGATATTTATTTCTTTCTTTTCTTCCTCTAGTATTTTTTAACTTTTTTCAGGTATACCTGAATTATAATTGAGTTAACAAAATTCTGATTCCCCTAATCGCAGGTTCCAATTATTAGAGGCGTTTTGTATGTTGTGGCGCAATGTGCGGGCGCTATCGCAGGTTCAGCGATTCTTAGAGCTCTCTCGAATGACAAACTGGAGGAATTTCTAGGCGTGGTGAAGCTTGCTGAAGGGATCACTCCAGTGCAAGGTTTCGGCGTGGAGTTCTTTCTTGCATTGATCTTGGTGTTGGTAGTTTGCGGGGTATGCGATGCCGCTAAACCGGACAACAAGGCCATCACGCCCCTCATAATCGGTGTGGCGGTCACTGTTGGTCATCTCGTCGGAGTAAGTACTTTGATTTTGATTACAAAAACAGTTCCTACTTATTTTAAGTCAATTTTTTACTTTGATTTTATATATATTAAAGAAATTTAATTTAATTAAATAACCCGACATGTTAAAATTAAATTACATTATAATTCAGTTATCCTTTGATATAAAATTTATTTTAAAATCGTATACTCTAAAAAATCGTTATACAAATTAGAATTTGTTTCAAAATTAATACCTTATTTCTACCCCTATAGCACAAAAGTTACAGCAATATTGCAGCGTTATTGCAGCAATATTGCTGCAAATTCTATGCTGTATGAGTATATATAATTCCTTAAAAGTTTTAAAAAATGAAAGAAATTAAAAAATTTATTCTGTTTTCGTAACCATTTTATATATTTGTAACAATTTTTAATAATTAGGTACCGCGAACGGGTGCGGGGATGAATCCGGCACGTTCGCTGGGCAGCGCCGTGGTGATGGGCGCTTTCAAAGATCACTGGGTGTATTGGGTGGGTCCGATTATGGGCGGTATGGCCGGTGCACTCCTCTATGTGCATGCTATCGGACCCGCCAAGCAACCGGAAGCACCCACCAGAACCTATGCCTCCGTCTCCACCGAGGAAAAGGAGGTATATTATACCACAACTTGTGGTCCACAAAAATCCATTTTCAGACACGAATGAAAAATATTTTGCCAAGATCTTGTAATTTATTCTCAATTTCCTATAAATTTATTAAGTTTTAATTAATTTTTTAAAACATTTCTCAATTTCTGTAATAAATTTTCCAATCTTCTAAATAAATTAATGAAAAAAATATACATTCGATCATTTTTAGTTTATTTTTCAAATTTTTAATAAGTTCTTAATTCAATTATTTAGTCAAACAAATTTCTCAATAAATAAAAATTAAATATTTAGATTAAGTTTCGAACCTTCGATTTTTTGTTTCAAATTGTTAGTGTCTGAAGATGGTTGGCAAATATAATTTTTAGATATAATAATATAAGTCTGGCATCTTCCTATGAATTAACAAGCATTTAATTCCGCATGAAAGACGCTGCACTGAAATACAACTTTTCTCTTATATAAATAATATTATTTATGGAATTGTGATTTTTTTTTATGATGGGACTTTGTTTTGGGAACATAAATAGTTATCCAATCCTCTCACGAGGCAGAATATTTTAGAATAAAATTCATGCATGCTCATAATGCATGATAATAAAGATACAAAATCATTCTTACTTTCCTACTTTTTAAAAAATAGTGAGATTTTTTAAGGAAAAAATTTCGTTTTTAAGATAACTTTTCATATACTAATTTTCCTATATGATCTTCATAAATTAAAATAAAGTCAAAAAGAGAAAAATAATCGTCTAAAAATATTTTAAGAAACGATAGAACGCAAGAGACAAATTTGCTTTTTGAAAAATTTTCACGACTTTTCTGCATTCTTTGTTAATTTTTTATAAAATCTAGCAACTGTTTTGCACTGTGCATCTGAATGTACTATTTCTCGAGATAAGACTTCCACTCTAAGCCCACGATCGTCTCTGTCCTACAGAGGTTCGAGTACATTGACAGCGGACGTGGCGGACTTTAAGATACGAAGATGCCCAGACATACAAGAGCAATCTAGCGATTCGCCTATAGCATAGAACTTTCATTTTAAGAAAATAAGAATAAAAAAAGAACAGCGAAGATGAAAACATCCTTATTTTACAGCTCCAGACTCTTACCAACAGGAAAAACGTCAATCCCGCTTGATGCTTTAACCGACTCTAACCATCTTCTTTTGCCAACTCGCCAATCACCTGTCTATGTGATAAGAACTATCAGACGACTCTTTTATACATATAAAAACCGCACGTGTATTTCAAAACTGAAATTAATGAAATTACACAGCTTACTGACAGAGTGGTTTTAGAAAAACGTGATCGTGACGTCGATTTTTATTTATCATTGAAGATATATATAGGACCATTTAAAGACATAAATACCCACATTTCAATCAACGTTTCGAAATAAAATGTATAATTTTTATGATACAATATATAATTAAAGTTTTTTAAAAGTTCAGCGCAAGAAGTATTAACGTAACTTAAAAAGCTTTTGATGTTAAATAATTTGAAAAATTAATCAAATATAATCACAAAAAGCATTAAACGCAGCTAAATTAATTAAATCGAAAATGGATTTCTCAAGAAAATTTATAATTTTATAAAATATTGAAGCGATAAGAGAGTCTCTGTCTTTGTCTATAATTTTGTGCCAATTTATCACAATATTTTTCATTGCACAAACTGAACTTTCAAAAATTTAATTATACGATATTCTTATATAGACCGTCCTGTAATCGCGAAAGATAAGAATGTGAAGAAAGCCAAAGAGATCGTCACGAAATATTTCACTTGCCGATATCTCATGTTGATATCTACATTGGGTGACACAGTCATTTATTGCACGAGATTGCATTTTGATAACGCCACTGATAATCGATCGACCTAACTTTCGGCTAAATTTTCCTGCACTTTAATCAGTCATATTTGAAAAATCATGCAATTTGCTTAAACCCATGTATAAAATAATTTCAGCAATTGACAGTATTCCACAATTATACTTCAACGAATGTGTTTCTATTAATTAGTATGAAGACTCAAAATTTCCAAATGCTTCTATAATTTATTTTTAAATATTTATCATTGTTCTCATTTCATATATATGAAATTTTCAAATCTTAAATCAATAATCTTAAATCATTAATAATTTATTTAGTTATTAATTAAGATTAATTACGATGTTGTAATACATTTCAATATTAAAAATTCAATCACAATTAAATTATCTATTTTAAAATAAATCATTGTCTTTCCATTTGTTTAATTATTTGCATATTTGCGTGACTTTTCGATTATTTCGAAATCAATTAAAATTTAATATATTTATAGGTAATTTTGTTTCAAATTTTTTTGTCCACAATCATTGTAGATATATATTCTAAAACATGTCGATACATGAAAGCTTATTTAAAAAATGTGTAAGATATTTGATTAAAAATCACTAATCTCTTATAAGCATATCGGAAAAATATCGCGACTGATTTTCGTCAAATCATTGATAATCATGACTATTTTGATTCATCATACATATTTTTTATACTGGTAATAAAAACATGCATTTCTTTCGTAAATAAAAAATACTGCGTAATATACGAATATTTATGTGTAATAAAATCATTAGAGAATACATATATTGTATATTCATCGTAAATGACGTAAATGTGAATTATATGTAATGTGTTGTACGGAATAAAATATATAAGTTTTTATACAAATTGTTCTGATTATTATCCTCTCGTCATAAATAAAACACTATTATGATTATTATATCTATTGTATGTATATAATTATTAAATAATTATATATTAAATTCTTATTTTTCTTTCTCTCTTTGAACTATCTTGTTTGGATATTTGTTGTTTGGAAGAGGTAGGATGGAGAACAGGCGCAATAAATATCGCGGTGGACTTTCTAACTTATTCATTTTTGTATATTATTTCATATATAGTTCCAAATATCTTGCAGAATATCGGATAACCTATCATTTAACATGTTATCGTTTTATTATTACAGTTTAACGAAAATAAAACTGAATATGATTATTGTGAACATAATATATATCTATTATAGTTCATTATCAATTATGTTCCAAACTTTGTTGGAAATATGTCGACTTACAGAATCAGAATCCGTTGCACCAATAAGAAAATCAAAAAAAGGAAAAAATAAATTGTAATTATAATATCTACAATTATTCTAAATATAGTAGCACAAAAAAGGATTAATTAATTTAATTGTAGATTAAACATGCAGATCACTTTTCATCGTCAACTCATGTTAATTTTAATCGACTCTGAAAGTTAATTAAATCAATTAACTAAGGATCGGTTGTTCCGCCTTTTGGTAAATTTTACTTATTAGGTAAATCTGGCAATATGCGCATGTGATTGGGTAATCTTGCTACTTACCTAACAGGTAAAATTTATCAAAAGGTGGAATAACTAGGCCTTAATATTTTGTTTCAAAAATTTTATATATATATATATATATATA